AAAAATTAATATTTATTAATAAGCGGAGTACAAAGGGTACGCCAAACCCATAAACATCATAACTTGAAAGGTATCATATTACAATATATTTAGTTTGAAAGTAAAGAATGAGAAAAAGTAAGTAAATTTTTTTTTATTTTGTTAGTAAATTTTCTTTATTTTGTTAAAAAAAAGTCAAAAAATGGGGAGTTATTTATTTTAATTTTCTAAATAAGCGGAGTACAAAGGGTACGCCAAACCCATAAACATCATAACTTGAAAGGTATCATATTATAATATATTTAGTTTGAAAGTAAAGAATGAGAAAAAGTAAGTAAATTTTTTTTTATTTTGTTAGTAAATTTTCTTTACTTTGTTAAAAAAAGTCAGAAAAAAATGGAGAGTTATTTATTTTAATTTTCTAAATGAGAAGAGAAAAAAAAAGATATCAAATTCTTCTATTTCTCTCCCCTCACGTCTATTTTCTAAATCAAATATTAGATTTTTGAAATAGAGACTCAAATTCTTAACTTGAAATATCCTTATGAGACTTCAACACAAGTTTATGGACATGGTGAATGATGCATCCCCTAATCAATTTAACTGATAGCTTATTAGGTCTAGACAAAGAAATATCGAGGTAGACAAAAATTGCGGATCAATTTGTTGAATAACTCATAATCAGACGAAACATGTTCCAAACTTTCTCTCCAGTAGCAGTACTAACATTTGAATTTGCGGTCTCAAGGAACCATCAACATGACAATCATTGTTTTTTTTTTTTTTTAAGGACAAGTGGTTCGAAAAGAAAAGGAGGAGAATCGAATCTTTGCTATAGTAAAAAAAAGCTGTTGAGTCACTAGGCTGACGGGCTTTTTTCGACAATCATAGTTCATATTACTCTATTTGTTTCAAAATGAAACGAAATATAATGTAAGTGGTTTAATTTTTTTTAATATATTTTTAAATCATGTTTTTTATAATATATAAATAATAATTAATTAATTTTATCAAATGAAATTATTTAACAAAAATTATATACATATATATAAATCTCAATTATTATTTATATATTATAAAAAAATTACTCAAAATTATATAAAAAAACAATTTATATTTTAAAATAGAAGGCATAATAATAATCAACTAACAACAACTTCAGTGTTTTATTAAAAAAAGTTAATAACAACCTTGAGTTTAACTTCTTTTTTCTATACAAATTTAACTTTTTTAGTGGGTAGGAATATAAAACCCAAAAATTGTTAGGTTGGATGCGTTTGGGCTCAAAAATTGTTGAGATGGACTGGTTCATTATTATTATTATTATTATTATTATTATTATTATTATTTCTTCTTCTCATCTGGCCTGGACTGGCATATATTTTTCTTTATGCAAATGGCCCAAACTAAATGAGAAATTGGTATAATTAGGGAATGAACATCGTTTTGGTGTATGAAAGAGGAAAATAGGCATGAAATCCGGCCAACCATGGGCTTGAAAGTGAAAGAGCAATAGACAAGGATAAAATGAAATGGGATGATAGATTTTCTCATCACTAGATGCTTGCAAGGAAGAATTTAATCACATACGCAAAGAATCTATCCATAACTTAGTGCAGAGGGATGAATTTGACTTCAATTTGTCATGTTACTAGATATGAATGCAATAAGAGTCCTTCATTTCCCTTCATCCATATGAGGACATAAACATCATTATCTACTCCTCAGCTAAAGTCAGAAAATTTTCTTTCTTCTTTTTGGGTAATAGATGCTCATGAATACATTTGGATTTACAGCCACATAATGTTTAATCAATCACATTCCCTTTCTGGGATATTAGTGCCGACTTTCTTGTTAAATTGAAAGGATTCGTGACATGACAATGATGATGGCAAATCCTTAGGGCAAAGCCTTTTTTTGCCACATACTAGTACTTGGACTGAACTTCAGCTTGTGGATAACACACGCTACAAAGAGTGGTTCATTCTTATTCTTTTGATTTTCACGTTGAAGATTTACAAC